CCCCTCCTCCTAAGAGTTTCAATCAGTGGTCGAAGCGTGAAGCAATCATTATTGCACGACGACTAACAATCACAATCATTTTAGGATTGAAAATAACTATTTGTATAAAGAGAAAAAAAATAGCTTTAAGAAAATGCATTGTTAGGACCGTTAGCTATTGATATTTGTTAGCTTGTGAAGCCACTGCAAACAACAAGAACTTTAAACGCTTATCAAGATGCAAGGTATTAACATTGGATCCAAAAGACTGATTGTTATGTTAATACGACTAAAAATTAAATGTCCTAAAAAAGTGTCTGTGAAAGGTGGTTTCCGTCTGCTCTTTGCTGTTATATGCATAATTACTTGTCTTAAGTTTAATTCTTCAAACGGAATATTGACAGCACATAGTTATTAAAAGAACTGAAATTTGATTTCGTCTTTCTTTTAAACGATTTTTCACCTACTTATAACTTTTCTGTCTTTTATCAAGCAGAGCCAAAGGAAGACAGGTTACAACACTTTATTTCTCAAACAAGTAACAGATTAAATCTCGTAATTTTAAATGACAATTTTTTTAAACGCCTGCCTGAATTCTCTAATTCTCGCGGCATACACGAAAGGATTCCAAGCTGAACTACTGAAAGCCAAAAAAATTCCCCACAACCAGTGTCGGTAAACCTTATTCTTCTCACATGGATTCTTGGTAGCTACATCTATAGATGAAAACACTACGTTTGGAAAAAATGTAATGAAAAAAATCCCCATTACTATTCCCGCAGTCCACGCCGCTTTCTTGTTTTTAAGCATTTCGGTTGCCTCAGCCGGATTAAGATGACTGACCTTTTTTTTTTGTTCGTTAGCAGCTCGAAATATGAGAGCGTAACAATAAGTAATAATTGCGAACGGCAGCACGAAAGTCAAGCCAAGGCACGTTATCCACAGAATGGACTGGTTGTCAATGCTGTGATCAAATATAGCCGAGCATGCAAACAATATGGAAGAGATCCAAATTGAGAAGACAACATACCAACAACGGCCTTTGGTCACTATGCTTCCGTAACGAATTGCAAGTGTGACTGCAATCAGTCTATCGACGCTTATGGCACACAGAGTGAAAGTGGATGTTGCCAAACTCTGAATCCACAAAAAGTTTTCCATCCTGTACACCACATTGCGGCCGAACCATAAATTTTTTGCCGTTAAGATGATGTACGTCGGGTACACCAACAGGCCCACCAACGCATCTGAAGAAGCCAAAGACGCAAGGAAGATATTGGAAGGTCTTGATCTGAGAGAACGCACTTTATAAATGGACAACAGTATGATCGAGTTTCCACCAAGGGCAATCACGCCGGAGATAGCATTAAGGAAAATAAATAATACACGCCAAGAGTGTGATAAATTAGGAGACTGCGAACAGGGGTCACCTTCCGCCATGAGCAGCTTCTAAACGTCATGAGGAAAGCGGTACCAAGAATGACTTTCAGTTTCCGTGTTCTGCTCCTAAATTGGAACCAGTGTAACTCAGAAATATTGTTGACAACTTAACTTTCTAAATTAGGAAACATGATCCACTTTATCGATGAGGTCTTGTCATACCTGTATGCTAATTTTGAAGTTTGACGATAATGGCCTTAGAAAATGCAAACTTATATTTTTACTAATCACATTGAAGAACGAATCAAGTCCTAGGCAAACACCTGCTCAAATTACGAGAGAAACTTCAGGAAGTCTCGATTATTAAATAAAAACACTAAAAATTGTGCTTAGGTCCAAGCAGAATAAAAAAAAAACAATAGATGCCCACCGCGAAGCCACCGCTGGGAGTTTTCTCCAAAGCTTCCTTATTCCTTAATTGTAGAGGTAAACATTCAACAAATTTAAAGCCAAAAGGCTGTAAATTTAATAGGCAAGCAGAATAAACTCAGCACATGTAATCCCAAAACTAAAATCTCCCAGGAGATGCTCAGTTTTAGAACAAGATCTGCTTTGTGTTATAAGCGTTAGAAATTAATGGCACGCAGATTTAAACACTGCCAAAAACATGTAATATTCCACAATACAAAACATCAACTAGAGAATTAAATAATTACCTTTCATCCTGAGGAAAATGGGCTTAACAATGATGCTTTTCAGCGTATTGGACATTTTGAAGAGCTCTTTACTGCACCCCGACAACTAATATCTTTTTTTATGTCTTTTATGATAATTTTGTGGGATGTGTTGCAGCCAAAACAAGGTCCAGGTTCAGTTCAGGGAATTGGTTGGCGTTGACTGTCAGTCGGCCAAATACTCCTCTATCCAGATAGATGTAGTCAGGTGCTTTGGTCTGGTTGATTAAAAACTTATACCTTCAAAATGCAGCAAAGAGAAAAAGAATAAAACTACCAGCTGAGCCAATAATCAATTGATGAAAGAAAAAAACAGGAGTTATTATATAATTGTGAGAAAATTTATTGGATGCGGAAACGATTATTGCTTTTTTAATTTATTTCAACGATGATGGCCTCTAATAACCCGTTGTCATTGTAAAGACAATTGTCTGCTGTCTTGACACCGCTCCAAAAGAAAAAATTAATGTTTAAGTGGAACTGTCATTCGCCAGCAGAAAAACAGTTTCAGCGCTAGGGCAACGGGGCAAAAAAGAAAAATGGTAGGGGAGGGAGAAAGACAGGAAGACAGAAAATCAAAAGGGAATAAAAGTTGAAGCGAAATTTGCAATAGTCACATTTTGAATAATCTGGCGGGGATTCTGCCGGAAAATTAACATGGTAGTCACGTCTAAATCCTTTAACCTCGGCTAAGAGTGATGAGAATCTAATTTCTCCTTACAGTATCATCTCTGAATCACATTTTAAGTTCATGAGAGTTATGGAATTAATCAGCGACTAAGAAAAAAGATATTGATTGTTAAACGAATTCTCCTTGTCAGCACCTTAGGAAATGTATAGAAGATTATGAAGAATATGCATATTGATGTTTGGGTGTAAAGGGTGAAGGTCTTAAAGAGACTAAAACCACAGGCATCATCTCATCGACCAACAATTTTCCAACTGAAATGGATGAAGATTCTTTTTGGCCAATTTGCAAAATTTAAAATAATTCCATGGCAGAAATAGACTAATCTTTCATTCCCTACTCGGGAATATGTGTAAGGAAGTTGGGTTTTCAGAAAATCACTTTTGAAAAATCGCTTTCATACTCAAAGCGACAGAATATGTTACATTTTTATGTGCCGTGGAGGGTCTTTTCCCGCCTAAAATTTCTCTTTACTACAGGTGTAAATTGAAGAATTGTTTCACGTGTACAAAAGCGTTTGCGTGGCGATTAAAGTTTGCACCTTAAAAAAGCGAGTTTCTCCCGTCGGCCACTGAATTGTGGCCCATTCTTCTCTAATTTACAGCGATGTCACCTTAAAATTTGCCCCTTTATCGATTATGTCTGTCGCATTCAGTCCGATGGGCGACAAAGAAAGACTTAACTAATTCACATTGTCAAATACCAAAGTAAGAAAAGATTCAACGGTAATAGAGATACAAATTAATTCACCGCGACGTAGATTTTACGCCGTAGCGCCTGGACAAACTATTGTAGACTATTTCGTGAGCGAGTTCCAGAGATCAACTTCAGTGTTACACAGCGTGAACTTAGCTTTCCGTGCCACCACATAACTACAATAAAATAAAGAACGTGATTCCGT